TCCCCGCGCTCCCTCTCCCCGTGCTCCCTCTCCCCGTGCTCCTTCTCCCCGTGCTCCTTCGTCACCGTGCTCCTTCTCCCGCGCTCCCTCTCCCCGCGCTCCTTCTCCCCGTGCTCCCTCTCCCCGTGCTCCTTCTCCCCGTGCTCCCTCTCCCCGCGCTCCTTCTCCCCGTGCTCCCTCTCCCCGCGCTCCCTCTCCCCGTGCTCTTTCCTTTCCATACCCTTCCTCCCGCATTTCTCCGAGCAGGATCGAGGACAAGCATTCTGAAAGGTGATGGAAGCAAGGCAGAGGGAGTGACAGGCAGATCAATCTCGACACGATGGCACAGATGAAAGCGAGATAATCAAGATAATCGAGTAGGATGAGGACGCGAAGAGATGCGCAGGAGAACGCAAGGGAAGAAAAATGAGGGAGAGGAGGAGTATGGGCCCCTTTTCCCCATTTTCCCTCCTCCCTCCTCCCTCCTCCCTCCTCCCTCCTCCCTCCTCCCTCCCTCCCCCCCCCCTCTCTCCCTCTCATCTCTCCCTTCCTCCCCTGCCCTTCCGTCCTCTCTCCCCTACCCCCCAACCATTTTCTCCATCCCTCCTTTCCCATTCCTTCTTCTTATCCACGACCCTTTCCCTTTCCCATCTGCCTCTCACCAACCCTCTCCCTTCATCTCCATAGGCAAACAGGGGTGACAGCTTGCTTATTATTAGGAAACGAAACGTGAAACCCAAGTGAGCAAGAGCAAAGATGTTTGTCAAAGTATCAAAAATCTGACCAAGACCAGATACAGTTCACTGTTGCAATACAAAGGATAAAGCAAGCTTGCTTTAGGAAAAAACCATCCCAAGTGATTAATGGGAGAGCAAGGAGGGATTGTGCTGGGAGAAGACTTCCTGTTTAAATTTCTCGACTCCACTTCCGAGAGATACAACAGTTTGAGCTTGACGGCCTTACGAGTGGCAAAAGAAGGGAGAAAAGATGCATAATTCACATGGTTTATTCACTGGCACGCCTATCCACCGCTATGTACACGTCAACTTCTCATCGCAACACTTGACATAACCACTTGTTCTCGCCTCTTCAAACAATCTTCGAAGGTCTGCTATCTCCTGATCCACTTGGGAGACGCTAGAGTTCCATGAGTGGGTGGTCTTGATCTTGTCTTGTGAGCCCGTTCTGCGGATGGGGAAGGAGGACCCCTGCTTCAACTTGAACGTGGAGGTCTGCCTCACCGCTAGGGTGGAGGAGATGCGAGTGACATTGCTGGTCTTCTCTGCGTGTCTCGTTGACCGCACTTGCTTTCTCTCCTTTGCAGGGACCCTCTTTGTGCGCCGGCCACCAAGGGGGTTGAATGAAGCTAGAGAATTGAGAACACCCATGAGTCTTTCATCCCGAAAGGCAGAGTCCCACACGTCGACCGTGTCGATGAGGACAGGAGGGCGTTGAGTAGATGTCCTTTCGATGTCCCTATATACAGCTGCGGTGCATCGAGCGCCGCAACCAAAGAAATCATCGAAAGCGTCCTTGCAGAGTGGTTGCACCATGCCGCAAACAATCAATCAAAGTGAGAGGAAGGGAAGAAGGAAAGAGGAGGAGAAAGTCGAACAGAAGGGGACGCAGAAGGGTCAGGTGAGCGTGAGGGAGAGAGCAAGCGGACGCGAATAACCACGATGGCGGAGAGGAGGGTCAAAGCGGGGAACAAGAGAGGATATGGAGTATAAGTACCCCTCAAGGTACCCACCCCCAAACAGAAATCCAGTTCATGGCTCAAATCCCACCCCCTTGATCCTCTAAGGATACACAGAATCTTGAGGGAATGGTACCGGTACTACGAGCACCTACCCTATTCCCAATGCAACTCGAAAGGTCCATGGACTCCTAGTGCCCAACAGCAGCCGTTGGAGGATTCCGTAGTAAAAAACAATCCATACCGGAGAAATATTACTTTTAAATATTAATACTAATATTGGGGCTCGAGCACAGTAAAATCATCTGAATGTCAGCGGCCGTGACGAAATCTTATAACAGTTTATAACCATCACAGCTTACCTCTACTAGTGTTTTTATTTTGAGATTTTTCGAAAGTTCCTTAGAGAACTTCATTCGTCGCTATAATTCAGAACAGTTTACAATCAATATGACAATTTCAAATGATATCGAATGATTCAGAAGCATTTCCTAGAAACTTTCTCCCATCAAGAACCTTTCAGGCTTGATGATTCTTTACAACAGCAGAGTGGCTGGTGGTAATGAATTACTACAGGCACTAGTTTTATACCTGGAATTGCAAAACCGAGGGGTAGGGGTACGACAAAGAAGGTACAAGCAGGGTGCATCAGACGGAAATCTTCGGGAGGGAGAGGGGTACTCCGAGGTACAGGGTCACTGGATCGTTAGCAAAGGGGGTACTAGTATATGCTATTTTAATAATGTTCAATCAACATGATTCCATGACACACCACGGGTACTTCGATAGCCTCATGAGGGGGTGGTATAATGATAATCCTGTCCATGACTTACGTAACCGCCTCATCAGTTGTACCACACGAGATTTTACTTAAATCTTCAGTCCCCACGTCATCATGTCATGTGCTCACCGTCACGGCCCGGCCGGAGCCGCGGGCCATGACACCGCCAATGAACTGAGCCTTTGAGTAATCGCATGGTACTCGAAGTTCCGTGAGGAGGCTCATAACCTAATTCATCCGATTGGCAGGAGCGGCTTGGCCGCGATCCGAGACCGTCCGATCCGACCGGCGAACCGCTCCCCCGGGCGGGCCTGGGGCCCTTCTCAGCCTCCGACGGAGAGGCTCCGAGAGCCGCACTCGGCCGCGGCTCGCGGCGGCGCGAGCGCCCGCCGGGCCGGCGCACACCGTGTCACGGTCGGCCGCCGCGGCGCGGCCGCAGTGAGCCTCGCCGCTACCGTCACGGCGTACTCAGGCGTGGCACTGGCCTGTGCGCCGGGCCGTCGGCATGATGCGTGCGTGACAGGCTGAGTCGTATCATGACTATAATCATCGGCAGGAGGTTCGCTGAACTCCGAAGTTCAATGCCGGCCATCATCTCGGAGGCTCAGTCTGCTGAGGGCACTAGCAGTGGCCCGGGCAGTCACAGTGCCGGGCGGCCCGGCCACCGTCACGGATCGGACCCGGTACTCCGGCCAGCCTCCGGGTGTGATCGGACTGACGGTTCAAGTTGATACAGCGCGGCGGCTTGAGCCTGAGACGGCTCCCCGGCCGGGCCCGGATTGAAAGGTTTGAAAGTTCGCAGCCTACGCCAAGGCTCACCCGTCACCGTCACCGTCTGAGCCGTCAGCGGCTGGCCCACCTACCGGGCGGCGGGTGGGCCGCCGATCATCACCGTGACACTGAGTCACTGTGACTCGTTCCCCGATGGACGGCGTCGCTGCTAGCCATGCCCGTACCTGACCTGCATGTAGGCTACCGCAACGCCGGCAGCGAGCTCGTGCCTTGTGTGTCTGAGCATGCTCGCAAGCGACCCGCTCCTCCCGTCGTCTGCGTCGCTGGATGCCTAAGGACGCGAGTCATCTAAAGAGAGCGACTTTTTGCATGCGTTGGTGTAGCAGGACGGAAGAGAAGGAGTGAGGGGCGGAGGGGAGGGAGCCTGAGGAAGGGTGTAGGGAGGGAGGAAGGGAGGGAGCAGAAATTAGGGGGCTCGAGAGGGAGGGAGGAGGGGACATAGGGAGCTGTGCGTGGAACTTGTGGAGCTGTGAAAGTGTGAAGTTGATAAAAGGAGCAGGAGCATGCGGATAGGCAGCGGGAGTGGGGTACGGGACGCGCCTTGGTGTGTTCAAGACTCTTGGTAGTGCGGAGGAAGAAGAGTCGCTTGTCGTCGGATTGCAGGTAGGAGATGAGGAGTGAAGCTGCATGGGAGTAGAAGGCAAGAGTCCGGATAGCTACCGGGAGGATGAGCGAGGAGACGTTGAAGCAACAAGCACCTGACAGAGAGGCACAGGCAGCGAAGACCTGGCGCAGGAGCTTTCCACGAGTCTTGTCATGCGAGCTCGAGCTCGAGCTCTCGTGTGCTCGTAAGATGTCGATGCAGCGATCTTGGCTCAGTTTGTAACCTGAGGCAGGAAGTTGAGGAGGAGAGGAGAAGAACAGAGAGGAGAAGAACAGAGAGGAGAAGAACAGAGAGGAGAAGAACAAAGAGGAGAAGAACAGAGAGGAGAAGAACAGAGAGGAGAAGAACAAAGAGGAGAAGAACAGAGAGGAGAAGAACAGAGAGGAGAAGAACAGAGAGGAGAAGAACAGAGAGGAGAAGAACAGAGAGGAGAAGAACAGAGAGGAGAAGAACAGAGAGGAGAAGAACAGAAGCACTACCTGCCGCTTGCTCCTCCAACGCTGACTTGAGCATCTTGAGCGCCTCCATGTCCTGAAGATACATCCCCATCTTTCTCTCGGCTTTCCCTGTAGCAGTGTCCTCGTCCTGATCCTCGTCCTGGTCCTGGTCCTGGTCCTGGTCCTGGTCCTCGTCCTCTTCCCCTTCTGGTTCTTCATCCCCGAGTTCCTCCATCTCCCATGATGCTTCATCGCTTTGACCTCCCAAATCTTGTCCTGCTCCATCCTCCACCACGTCGAGCTCGTCGCCCTGTGGCTCGTCGCCGGACAGGATCACTCGGCAGGCGTCCAGCAGACGCGTGAAGGGCTGGTACGTGTAGGAAGCTTGCGGAGCGCATCGGAGAGGAGCGAAGCGCTTCTGCTCGTCTCCCCATCGCTTCAGCTTTGCCTTGCTGTCAGCAAGCACGCACGACCGGATCTTCGCCCACTCGTCTGGGGGGTACTGCACAAACGCGTTCACCGTGTCGTTCATGGACCCATCTGGCTCCACGTTGTCCATCACGCAGAAGCCGTAGTTGAGCAGCAGCTCTCTGCTCCCTTTCGCTCCGTATGCGATGTACACCTCCTCCTCCTCCCCTAGGTCCCTCAGTGACGTGAGCACGAAGCCGGCACGTGCCGGGGCCTCTTCGCGTCTGTAGCTGTACGCGGTGTCTCGGGGCCTCTTGTGGTTGAAGCAGTCGAGGATGGGGACCATGACCTCTCCCAGCTCGTCGGCGTCAAACGAGCGACTTGACACGCATGCAAGCGCCCACAAGAACTCTCCCTTGGAGGAGGACATACGACCAGCAGCTTTGAGCTCTTCGTAGTCCTGGTCGGCATTGGACGCCATGGTGGTGGCGGCATCTGCAAGCTCAGAGGAGCCGAGCAGCTCCTCCCGCTCCTCCCGCGACCACCAGGCCGGGAGTGACGTGAAGAGATCTTGAGGTGGGAGGGTTGAGATGTAGGCGTGAAAGGCTGAGGACTCTTTGAGGTTCCGATGGTGGAGGAGGGCGAGGGCGAGGGCAACGTCTCCTGCGGTGCGGTCATGATAGGCAGGAGCTACTTTCGCAGTCTCGCTCGCCTCTATTAAGTTTCAACTTCATTCCCTCGATGTCTTCTTGTCTTCCCAGCAGGAGACAGCATGTCGGGACCTTCACAAGCTCGTGCCCCTGTCATAGTCTGAGTCAGGCCGCATTAGCAAGGAGGTCGATACCTTGTTGATCTTTGCGCTGCTCGTGAAGACGCCGCAATCCCCACCCTCACCCTCACGGAGTACGATAGGCCCCACCTCCCCTCCCCTCTCCCTTACCCACAACACGCAGGCATCGAATGCCTCTGACCTGCTCTGAAACCCTCGCACGCATCGCTTCTTGGGAGTTCTTTCCTCCCCACCATTGGTTGTCATTGGCCTCCCAAGAGGTTGCTCTGATCACAGCCCACACGTCAAGAAGAAAGTTTACTCCTCCTTCATCCTCTTTCCCTCATCGGATTTCTCACATCGTTGTGATGAATCTGTACCGATACTTCCCACTCTAGTCTCCCTCCTACTCTCATTGATCATTTTCCTTCCCTTCCCTTCCCTTCCCACTTCTCCCCTCCCCTCCTTCTCTGCTCTCTTCTCTCTCCGCACCATGCTCTCGTAGCTGTCTTCACCTTCTCACTCATCCTCCCCTCCTCGCCTCTCCCGTTCCTTCCATGTCGGGCAGAGATTCGCAGAGATCCGCACATGCGGTGGGCATGAGAGGGGATGAAGGCTAAAATAACGGAACAATATTTATGTAACGGTCGATACCAGGGTGACACATGTGAAGACCAACGATGAAAATCGAGGAGAGGAAAGAGGAGGAGGAGGAGGAGGAGGAGGAGGAGGAGGAGGAGGAGGAGGAGGAGGAGAAGGAGGAGGAGGAGGAGGAGAAGGAGGAGGAGGAGGAGGAGAAGGAGGAGGAGGAGGAGGAGGAGGAGGAGGAGTAAGGAGGAGGAGG